TGGGATATAAACAAGAAGTACCCACTGCTTGTGTGTTTTGACAGAAAATGTTGTGTAAAGATAATAAGTTTTGTTTGTTGCAAGTGAAGGAGAGAGATGTCAACTGGTTTTCCTGCCATCCCTGTTTTTTCACAAACTTCCACCTATTGCATCTATCTCTCTTTGAAATGCATTCATAGGCCTGAATTGTGGTCCATTTGCTTCTGGCAAGAATTTGAAAATGTATTGGTAAAGATTTTACCAAAGGACATATTTATAGGAATGAAACTCAATTCTTTCTTAGGTGAAGTACAGTAGCAGAGGAACACAGGAGACATGCCATAGAAAACTGCAAGTTTTGCTTTAAATCTCAGACAAATGAATGTGATGGGACATAACAAACCTAATTAAAAAAAAAAAGACTCTCACGATTGACTATTGACATTAACGTGAGATTTCCCAATATCATCAACTTCACAATCAAATTAATCCTTTAAAGCTAATAGAGCCAAGTCTGTTAAAGGTTCCTATTAACAACTGCAGCTGCTTCAATTCTGTTTAAATCCAGATCTCATTTTATTCATGCATCCACAGAATGAGGCCAAATCCTTGGGAACAAGAGTTCCCAGGGAATAAGTGATCCAATGAGCCAACTGTACATACATCGTCTCTAATCAGAGTGAGGTAGGAAAATTAAAAAAGGAATGTTTCTATCAAAATCTTGAAATTTGGGGATCTTTTTTATTTCATGGATTTTAGGTGCAATTTAATGAGTGCACATTTGGGTTTGATAGTACTTCAGGTAGCATTGTTTTTGCCAGGCTGCTTTCTGACCTGCCTTGCTAAAACTTCGACCATCACAGGCCTACTGAGATACAAGTGAAGTGGTGTTAACTGCAAAAATGAAAGCAATGTTTGTAGATCCACAATCTACTGGTGTCCAGAAACCTCACCTTAGAGAAAGCTCTGAAGAATTATCCTTTTGAAAAGCCCTTTTATCTTTATTCTTGCAAATGTGATTTCTAAGCCTTTCTTAATCTTGTTAAGCAATAAATTAAATTAAAACTCATATTGGCTACACATAACATTGTAATCAAATTTACAAATAAATTCCCTTGGTCACATTATGATGATGATTGAAATCTGCACTTCATTTTCAGCTAGACATCTCTCCTGCAAACAACAAAGCCTGCAACTTCACAAAACTACTATATCTTTAATTTTCTTTTTGACCAAATCCTGCTTTGTTCAGAGCTTTTGCAGGAAAAGGCAGAATAACAGAAACAGGATATTCTATGTGCCTCTTCTTAGGAAAGAGATTAGAGACTAGATCTTGAAGGATTTATTACATGCTGCTCAATTGAAGAGACAGCTTTTTTTCTTTTTTAAATTAACTAAGTATCCTCATAAGGACCTTAAATTCTGTACTCAGTGAAAAGAAGGATGTACTTAAAATACTGGGATAGTTTCCCTCTCTGCTGTTCTCTGCAGCCATCTACTTCTCTGCACTGATATAGTCCACTGAAAGTCTATGGACCACAAGTGGGCCATACAACACAGGAATATTTCAACAATTAAAAAATGGTCATTGGAAATTTTTTTAAACTGCTTAAAAGAGGAAATTCAAAGTATTGAGAAACGCTAGTAAAGGGAATTCTGTGGTTTTTTTTAGAAAGACTTGACCATGACACCTCCACCTTCTTCCATCTTAGAGTTAGAGTTACTGACACTAACATAGACACTTGGAAGAATCTATGGTCAAGCAAGTTTGACTCTACAGGCAAATGCTTGAAGATTGTAGGAATCTTTTTGCACCTTAGCAGCCTTTATTCCTGTACATATATGAGTTTAAATGCTCCTCAAGCATATATTATTGATTAAATAAAATTATCTAGGGAGAAAGGAAGGGAGTGAAAGGTTCTAACAGAAGGGTATGATGATCATCAGAGAAGAGCCCTCTGATTAAGATTATGTAGCAAAAATTCAGAATCCTTTACATATCAAGTGTATTTTGGAATTGACTAAAGCAATTCCCTTTAAAAAACCCATGTTTTTAAGTAACATTAAATTGTTCTCAAAGACATTCCCAAGAGATCTCAAAGTAGGCAAACTGTCCCCCAGAGACACCTCAGGAAGGTAGCACTGAGCAGCTGTTGGACCGCTCTCTTGGATAAACCAGCTCTCCTTCCCCCGTCACATGCTTGAGCAGACAGGTAAGCAGAAATAGGGCAACTTTGTGCTAGTTCTTTAAAACCCATGTTAAATTAGTATTGTTGATATATGCTAGAGAAAAAGAAAAAGATAAATTTGAAATCAGATGTTTGAAAAAGTTTGAGGTTTAGCATTGATCAGAGAGCCAGAGGTCACACCATGTAAACAATCTGATTATTGTTCCTGGTACAAAAATCTATTTCAGAACTTCATGACTCACCACTGTTTCAAACTAAGCTCTGCTTCCATAAAATACTCTGCATTTGGATGAAACAATATTTTTTGTGAGAAGTCCTGTCGTGAAAACTTCTTAAGCTTCTCAGACCAAAATCTAGTCTCTGCTTCCCTGAAACAGAACTGTTTAAGTCAGCGGGGTTTCATCAGTGCAGCTCAGAGTAGAATTTACCCATTAGTATGTTTAAAGCATTTACTCACTGCCAGAGTGCTGCCTCCATTCACTTTTCCAAATAAACTTCAATTTCAGCACTCAAAATCAATTTAATATTGCAGATAAAATAAAATTATTTCAATAGTATTGCTAAGAAACAGAAAGGGGTGAGTAATTGCAGATGAAATATAACTAAATAAGGATGTTAATTTATTTTTGAAACTTCCAAATGTGTACTAAGTGTTTGTAATAGATCATACGGCCCCTTCTTGGCCCTAGGGGTTAGCTAGCTCTGCTTTTATTGAACACAAATGCTGGGAATCAGCTAAAGAGCACTAATTCTAGCTGAAGAATGGCATGGGACCCATCCCACAGGAGGGGAGGAAGAAGAAACAAGCTTCTAGCCATCTTTATGAGTGCTTAAAATGAAGTGGAATTTGTAGGCTTACCTAGTGAAATTATTTTTTTCTGATACCAGAATTAGATGAATAGTTGGTCTAAGAGTTGATTTGCAAGGAAGATTAAAGCTTTATTTCATTATCTGGATGGCCCTATTCATTGTACTTAAAATGAAACCAGACTGAGAGACAACCAAGTGAAGTGGTTAGAGCTGATGTTTGCATAGAATGTGAGATAAAGCTACTCTGTTCAAGGGGAAAGATAGAAAATATTACTGTCTAGAATGACTGTAAGAACTAACAGAGATTTGATAAAGGAGCATGAGACACAGCCGTAGAGAAAGGCAGAGATTACAGCAATGTCATCAGGTGGTGACTCATAAAAAACGCTCAAAATTGAACAACTGAAACTGCTTTGCAGGAACATAGGAGTTGTCATGCTCAGCATTGTTGGGTCATCTCATCCAGACTTCCCCTGAGGAGACTTCAGATGAAAGTCGCTTTACCTGATATAGGTTTTGCAACAGGTAAAACAGGTAATGGCTGTGTGTATCGCAAAATAGAACTGCAGATTAATTGTGATGTGAAAGTAACCCCTAAAAGTAATCGGGTAATTTATCGAACGGTCTGTGTTTGCCATCTAGTGGTACAAACCAAAATTTTTGTTCTGATGTGTGAGAGCCAGGACAGCTGAAATCTTCTGTCTCAGAAGCAGACCTCGCCCATGCAGAGAGATGACTGCTTCCAGGCAGATGGTGGTGGCAACTGTGGATAAAAGTAGAACTGTCCTTTTAGGAGCTAGGGGCAGAAATTTTGCAGTCCCTGACCCAGGAGGCTTAGGACTAGATCATTAGAGAGTTAGCAAGGGTCGTCCAATAACTGATCTCTTCGTCCCTTTTAGTATTCTGGTCATTGCTCTAGTCTCACAGGTCCAGATTCTAAGAATATTCAGGCACCAATTTTTTTTTCTTTCTGTGAGAATTCAGGCAAACAAATATCCTAGGGATTTGAGAGTATGTTCTAACAGCTTGTAAACCATGCTTGTAAAATCCTCAGCCAAGGGCCCTCCAGATTTCTAGAGGCATCAGATACGCTTTACAGCGTCCCTGTATGAAGATATATGATTATCTTCCAACCAGGAGACTTAACTACAAAGAAATTAACAGCTCATTAAAAAAATTGTACAGGGAATATATACCATTCTGGCAACAGAACATATATACCTGAATATAAGCTATAAGACTACTTTTCTCTCTTAAAATATTTCAAGGTTGTGTGAATAAATAATTAAGTAAAAGGGTTAACTTTATTTCTCAGTTATGTCATATACTAAATACAATACAAGGGGGATACATTAGTAGTAATATTTTATCAGAAAAAATTATATACAGCGTGATACCTAACCATACATGTTATTTACCTGGATTTCTTGCTATATAGTTAAGAAAATAATAATTATATATTGATTTTTTTTATCAGCATTCAGGAAGTTTAAAATAATTCCCACATCTCAACCAAATAGCAGGTTTTTTTCAGGTTTTACTATAAAAACATAGCTAGCAATTGAGAATTGGAGTTTTCATAGTATCTCTGTGATTCAGGAGCATCACTTAGTTTAGCTGTTCCTGGGATCATACAGATTTTTTTTTTAATCCCTTTCAGAAGCTGCAATGAATGAAAACAAAGCAATACAAATTATATAGCAGACAAATCCTAGATGACTAAAACAAAGATTAATGAGATCAAATTAACTTTACAATGTAGTGTTAATCATATTAACACTAATATGATTCTGAAAAGTGTACCTATGTAATAACACCACATATATAACAAAATATGTGGAAGAAAACTTAAAAAAAATCACACGCTATTAGCTATGGTCCCTTCTTTTTAAAAAAAATTATTGAATATTCTATTTATTGCACAGTTGTTGCTATGTTCACTCATTCATTCATCCACTCATTCAACTGTTATTTATTTAATTAATTATTCAATCAATTGTTCACTGAGGGACCATATATGTTCTATGTTTTACAATTGACCTCAAAAAGTGAGGCAGCTGAATGCATCCGATAGAAAATAGAAAAAGGCATTGCAAGGTTCACAACGATTATCCAGGGTTCAAAGCCAAAAACTATTTCTTCTAGTCCATTGTCATATTCTGGGCGGCACCCGAATGCTGGCGGTATCCACAGCTGCAAGGGAAGAACGCAAGGCCAGTATTAATCACGAGCAATACTTGTCACTAGCCCTTAATGACTGTGACCCCACAGAACCGTAAACTGGTTTCAGAAATCCCTAAGAAAACCTTCCGTGTTGCTACTGGGGCATATTGGTGGAAGAGAGTTTCAGCTTCCACTGCTGCTGCAGTTTTAGTACTGTGACTAAAACAAGCCTAGGCTCCCAGATTCCATGTTTAAATAAACTTTGTTCCTCAAAGGCATATTCACTTATTCTTCCAGAAGAGGTAAAATTTACTTGCTACAAACTATAGAACCATGTAATTTTAATATACTTATCAGGCTTGAAAGGTTGGGAAGCTTTGGGGTATTAACTTGTGAATTATGTTCAAAATGGCTTACCGAAAGGTTGCATAGGAATAAAAATGCAGCGATGTTCTTCAGAATTCTCCTCTTGTTGTTAGTAACTGAGTTTCCACTGTAAAATGAGAAATCTGAGGCTGAATGCATGACCAAACTCTTATCCTGACTTGTTTCTTCTTTGGCACCATGACCACCACCACCATCATTTTCTCTCCCATAGATAGTGCCCTTAAACAGGCAGGGTACCTCCCCATTATCATGAGCAGTTGTGCCATTGTAAATCTCTTTGTACGAGGGAGTAAGTGATAAAGTGCTCCCCCGAGATATAGTCACTATTCGAAGAGTTTTAATATCGTCGTTCACCTTTTCCTGCTCACGATGTATGGATTCAATGATAAAGAGGTTCTGAATATATTTCTCAATAATAACCAGGACAGAGTAGGGCAGGTTATACCATGTATATTTTGGGTGAGCTTGAGCACAGATAATGGCAAGGATCGAGCCCCAGGAGAGGAGCCAGGACCCTGCAGCTGTGCCCACCAGCAGCTCTGCATCAAGTTTTCGAGCAGGATTCTTTGAATTATCCAACGATCTATCTTCCAGTCTGTAGATTAGAAGGGCAACAATTCCAGCTGTACACATGAGAGCCAATACAAAAATAGCATGCAAGTAAAACATAGTAAGAGCTAACTCGCTCTTGACTTTCGAACCTCCAATCTGAATTAAATACACAACAACTATGGCTATTGTGCTAGTTAACACGATTAGTCCAAAAATCATTCCAACAGTTATGCCGTGGAACTTGAATGGAGTTTTGTGTTGCTGATGGTGTTCAACTTTGCGGCCAATGTTCTTCCACAGGACATAGAGCATCGTGGATGCTAGGATGTGGTACTCTATATTAAAGGGGTATAGGTAATATATTCCTTGAGAAAATATTGAGCAGAGAGTTGTTGTTGTGCAATTGCATTGAGGTGCATGATCATCTAAAACTAAAGGAGAGGGAGAGGTTAGTTATGTGCATTATAAGGAATTCTCATTTAAAATGAATAAATAAAATGTAAATAAAATGTAAATAAAATAAGAAAACATAAAAGGTAAGACTTCAGTCAAACAACACATCACGCCACCCAGTTAGACACCTAAGAAAAGGTCTCTTGTCATTGGAGTCATTAACCTAACAAAGCTTTTGCACATGCACTGAAGTATAATCTCTGACTTCACTGCTCAGCCTCTGAGCAATAATCACATCATGATCAAATACTGCACTGAAGTGCACCAAACTGCAGCAGGGCCCTAGTAAAAATAGTTTTTTATAACACGAAAATCCCGATCCCACAGTTTAGAAGGCTTTTACAGAAGCCCAGGGATCTGTGGATCAGATCAAGAACAAGCTTAACAAGGAAAGGAGTCAGTTCTACTGTCGTTTTTATCAGTTATTTACACTAGTGTGGTTTCTAATAACAAAACCACTTTGTTAAAAAGTTGTTTATGTCTAGAAAAGAGGCAAAGTAAACCACAGATATTTTCATTCAATGTCTCAGTATATTTTTAAGGTTAAAAAAAATTAAAAATATGTTTTCTTCTTTTGAGAGGAACCTATGAAAGCACTACCTCTCTGCTGTGCAATTACCTGCATTGTAAACCCCTTAGGCATATCAATGAACAATTGCTTGTATTTGTAAAATAATTAGGTTTCATGTATGTTTATAACCTAAGCAAGTAATTTCAGAAACCATAAATTTCCATAGTGGCGGGGGAAAAAATATATATTTTTGCAATGTGGTTTTATATAAATATGTTTTTTTTAATAAATCTGTACATGCTGAAGAGCACATTTTCAGATGCTGATCTTAGATTTGCACCTGGAAGTTTTTATTTTGTTTTCTATAATTTTAGAAGAGGAGAGGAGAAAGCTGGTATTGTTTTGTCTCAAGCACACACTGTTAAGAGATTAAAAAAAATTGCTTTTGCAGTGTATTGTATATTAATGACAAATTTGTCTTGCAGATAGGTACTTTGCTCCCTTGTTTCAGATGCTATTTCTGACTATTCATAATTGTGTAACAATTGTGGCAGCAGGATAATAGGAAATAATATAAACTGCTTCTATTTAACAAGTGGAAATATCAAGAAGAGCCACTAACTTGTGATTTGCCTGCTCTCTACTAATGCTCCATGATTACAACAAAATCTCTGAACTCTCAATTCAGCTACCTGATTATTAATGGAAACTAGATAGTTTCCATAGATACCTCTAAAGGGTATCACTTGCAAATAGATGTGAGATTGTGGGCATAATTTTAGATACAGTTATACTGAAAATACTATTTTACAGATTGTAAAATTAAGTTTTCACTTATATGTGAACTTTGGCAGGAATTTTTATAAATGCCTAAATTTTTTTCAATTTATACAGACTATAAATAGGCAAAAAAGAAATTAGTTCAGGCTTTGGCTATGTAGACACAAAATCAAGATTTTTTTAGGATATGGGCACTACTGAATTCATTGGGTGGGAAAACATACATTTTTCCTCTTTGAAAGCTGTCTGTCTTTTCCCTTGTGAACACAATCAAAATTTATCATCTGTACCAATAATTTTTTATGGGAATAAAATTACTTATAGCTGCTAAGAACTTTTATTTTATCTTTAAATTTAAGCACCCCTAATTTTCCTGTGCTTCAATGGCATTTGAAAGCAGAAGGTACCCCCAGCAGTTATACTCAATGTTTGTTGACTGTAACTTGCATCATCTTCCCAATGGAGAAAATGGTTCATTATAAAAAAGGAACCACCCAGAGCAAAATCTTTGTCTTGTAAAGCAGCACTAATGGATAACCCCTATTGCTCTGAGCCATTCCACTGAATCCCATAGGACTACACATCATGCGTAACCACTCTCCCAGGAAGGATCTGCAGGATTATCCACACTTGTTTTGTTATTAATAACTTACAAAATAGTAAACTCTAGCTTGAACACTGCTATGTTCAATTTACTTCTATGATTTACTAATAAAGGAGTTCTTCAGTGATGTTATTCCCTAAATAAAATGGTTTTTAAAACCTGTGTGTTTGGAACTTCTGGGATTTATTTTTCTTCTAGACCTTATCCAAAGGGGAGATGAGTAAACAGAAAACTATGGCCTGAATCACATATATGACAATGATAATGATCATATAACATCTTAGTTATGATCTGAACTGACTATGTATCAGCTCATTACCATTTGCCTGAGAATGACTATGCTGATGTAGTCGTGAATGACCCAGCTCCACCCTACAGGGATGCAGTATTTTGTATGACAGCGTGTTAGAGCAGAAATTCCAAAAGGGTACCAACCCTTTTGCTTACCTATTGTTATGTTCCCAAAACCAAGCGTGATTAGTCTTTCCTTATGTTCATTCAGTTGATGTTTTGACTCTGTTAACACCCCATTTGTCCACAGAAGTAAATTTGTGAACACAGAATGGATAACCCCAAACCTACAAAATAAGGTAATTATTGAAGGAATCAGCACAGAGTATACTTCTATATTTGTTAGATAAAATTGATTCACTTTCTGTAGACACACTACAGGGCACCATTTAGTTGACAGTGCAGGGAAAGTAAAATCATAACCGACCTCTCTAAAGATGTTCCTCACTGGCACACAATGAATGTTAGACTTCCAAAACTTTATAGAACCAAAATGGCTTAATGTATTAAACCATTAATAGCACAGTTTTACTATTTACTATGCTTTCTTATGTGACGGTTGTTATTCTTTGGGCTTGATAAGCTTCATGTTAATGGCAGTGATTGAACAGTTTGGACAGGGTTAATTGTTTTGCAAGCCATATTTCACAGCCTTCTGAAGCACTCTTTCATACTCACTGTGGCTGGTTTTTCTTTGCTGAGATACCATTGCCTTCTCTAACTTCTAGTCCATGCATTTTTGTCTTGTGGAGAGGCTTGAAGCCAACAAAGGGCTTTATCCCATTCAGACTACCGGTACAGTGAGGGTAGGTCTCCAAGCATTTTTGAGACTCCTGGTTTCTGACAAGCCAGGTATTTTTCTCCTGCACCTGAGGCTGGTAGCGTTCCTTCACCAAGAAACAGTTCTTTATTACTGCACTATTCTCACTGATAGACTTGAAGTTAGGGATTTTAAAACTTCTACTTAGAAACAGAGCTAATTTCACCAGCTAACATTGCAAGCCTTCTGTGATGACCCTCCTCATTAGCATAAGGCTTGAACACTTACTCAAGAGAGCAAAACAAATGGAGAACCTTCTCCATAAATGACATTCATGTTCTATTTACAGATAGAGTAATCTACATTAATCCAGCTGCTCACACCAAAAATACACTGGAACTGGCTCTGCTGCCTCAAAGACTAGTCCTCAGTTCTATAAGAAAAGTCTGTATTCAGCTGTTCAGAGGACACATCAGTTACACTGTGATAACCAAGTTCTGGTGTCAGAAATGTGCACAATCCTTACTGATTTGGGTATATTGGATACCACCAGGGAGTTGTTTTTTCCAGTGAATTTGAACATCTGCATCTAGTTCCAAAATGTGCTTTCCATAAAAATCAATACAATAGATATATTACACTGACTGCAGGTTGCTGATAAAAGCTCAATAAAGAAAACATAATATCACGCGTAGTCCTAGGACATATACATGATGCTTCCTTCCTCCAAAAAAAAGTGGGTGACATTGCGGTATCATACATTGCCCATTTCTCTCTCTCATTATAAAAATATACTTATTCTGTGACTATTGTATATTATAAAATACAAGCACAGTTTAAATAATAAAAAAAATTCCATTCAGACTAATGAATGGAATCACACAGTACAACTGTAGCTGTTAAAACATTGTGCAGACCTGCACCTATTAGCACTCCAGATGAGGATCAGATCCACTTTACCTTTCAAGTGTTTTGAAAGACTGGATAATATCCTTTGCATGACACCAAAGGAAATACACCTAAATGAAAGAAATACAGATAAATGTCATTACACTAATGAGCATGTATGACACTCAAAAAGGAAAGTGCATCTATAGACCAAAACCACGGATGATTAAATCCTCTGATCATTTAAACTGAGGTAGCTCCATCTCCACACATTTGAAATTCCTGATGATTTCCTCTGATGTCCACCCAGAACCTCTCTCGCATGATGAATCTAAGATTTCTTATATACAAAGTCAGTGGCTCAACAGCAGAAAGTCTCAGTATGACTCACCAAAACATATCTTGTGTCTGTATCTGGAGAGGCTTTTATTTCAAACAAAATAAAGCTACCAGCTGTGGACAGCAGTATGATTGCTGCAGGGCATGGTGATGCTAAGTTTGAATAATTTATTAAATAGATGTCATTCTAGGGAGGGAGAGAGATAAGTGAAAAGATGGCAGACTTGATTAATAAAACAAACAATGTACAACCAGTAAGCAAGAGGAAATGTTGTACTATCAGCCTGAGGGACAACCGCACTAAGAACACATGCAGTTGAACTCAAGTATGGTGCAGAAAGCTCAAGCTGGAGAATAAAAGAGAGAGAGAGGTAACAGTATTGAGTTAGCAAGTAAAGGGGAAAGAAGTACTAAAAGTGGGAATCTCTGTTTGTGGGAGGATAATGGAAACCTCAGGATACAGATCATTGATACAAAACCAGTTCCAAGTGCTGAAAAGTGCAAGAAGAATGATACCAATATTCCTCAGGGATGTTAGGGTGAAACTGGGAGTTCTGTTTACTCAGAATAGCCTCCAGGATACTGAACTTGACAGTAGGTGAACTATCAGGAGAGAAACAGTCCCAAGGTTTCTCTTAGAAACCCGCCTGATTTGTCGTCCCAGAAATGGTCTGAAAAGTGTGAAGAACTTGGGGTTCTCCTTCAGCAATTACACTAACTGGAAATCCATTTTACCACTGTGTCCATTAATGTAGACACCCTACACCACAGCTGACATTGTCAGAGACATTCAGTATCTGATTTTTGAAATCTGACATGTATTCTGTAGAAAACAAATCCTTCTCTTTTTAGATGACACATAATTAGGGATGTTCTCTGCTGTAATTGCATCCTCTGTTTCAAAAACATGAGCTTTGTCTTAGGCAAGAGGTATCTGGTAAATTACTTTTTTACTTTTTCTTTGATTGCTCAGGCTAATGTTCAAGATTTCATTATTTTAAGATAGGCAGATGATAAATTCAACAACATTGGCTGATGTAAAATTTAAATTAGAATTCTTGTTCCCTTTGTTCAGCTTTGTTATACACCATTTCTTCCACACTCCAGTTCACAGTAGCTGGAAACCTTGTCAGCTCAGGGTCACTGGATGCAATGAATAATGCTGCATGCAGACCAGCAGGTAAAAAAGGCTTAATTTCTTTGGTTTGTTTTTCAGGGGTAAAGCAAAGAAGTTGCAAGACATGGAGAGTGGATATTACAAGAAAGTGAAATAAAGATTACTTCAACCAAATCAGAATTTCATCCTCAGACAAAAAGATAGAAGAGGTCAGAGTTGCTGCTTCAATTTCAATGCTTTTTTTTTGTTACAGTAAGCAGAAAAATGCAGGTTGTTCAAATGCTCATTTACATGCAACTCCAACTGCCAGGAAAATCTTTCATTTCTTTCTGAATGACTTAATCATCTTGGGAAGTAAATTAAATAACCTGGCTATAATGGGGTATCTTAGTTGAGTGGCTTTTTCTTTCCTTCGTTCCTACAAATCTGCTGACAGAGGCTCAGAGGAATTCAAGTGATAAACAATCAGCTATGGAGTATCACCATATAACATAGACCCCAAACCTTCCAATAAACAAACAGCTGGAATACTACTATTTCAACTACAGGAAAGCATTTTTTTATTATTTCTTTTTTGAACCCACATGAGTTTTACAGCTGAGCAATTTCAGGTTGTGAAGCCTGAATTTTCACACAAAAAAGATACACATGCACAAGAAGGGTTTAGAGGTGAAGCTGTATAAGGAGAGGCTGAAGTTGCTTGATTTGTTCAGCCTGGAGAAGAGGAGACTGAGAGGAGATCTCATCATGGTCTATAACTTCCTCACAAGGGGAAGAGAAGGGGCAGGTGCTGATCTCTTCTCTCTGGTGACCAATGATGGGACCAGAGGAAATGGCAGATGTGCCAGGGGAGGTTTAGGTTGGACATTAGGGAAAGGTTCTTCACCCAGAGGGTGGTGGAGACCTAGAACAAGCTTCCCAGAGAGGTGGTCATGGAACCTGACAGTATTCCAGAAGCATTTGGACAATACCCTCAGACACATGGTCTGAATCTTGGGATTGTCCTATGCTAGGACAGGAGCTGGACTTGATGGTCCTTTTGGGTCCCTTCCAACTCACAACATTCTGTGATTTTGTGATTCTATGAGATTTCAGCCCTCAAAAGGACCCTGTGAATGCTTAGAAATTAAATTAGTGTAAAATTCTCTGATGATGAGAAGATAAAAGATATTTTTGGTAAGAAATACAGATATAATATAAAACTGCAACCAGTGACTTTTACCTGTAAGATGGTGTGCACGGCATGTGTAACTGGAAAAATGCCTTCAGTTGGTGATAAACAGTTTGAAAAATCAATATAATATCCAATTTTAAAAGAGTCTAGAATTAAAGTAATCACTGCAAATAATGTAATCCCACCTGCAAATGAAAAAAATATTAGTTAACCTCAATGTACAGTTATAGTGTCTAGAGATAATCTGTACCAATATGCTAAAATCTGTTTAGGGAAATGAAAATTGATCAGTATCTGTGAGCTTGATTCGGGAAATAAAAGTACATCAATGTTCATGGAGATCATGGACTCAATGTAATAAGTCTCTCTAATTAGTGAAAGCTGCTGCCCAGTATATTACTAAAGCAGATCCGTACACACCTTGCACGGTGAGCGCAGAGGAGCCAGCCCAGCAATGGCCAGAGCTGGAGACACTCAGCACCTTGCAGGTGGCTCCCAGCTCCTCGCAGGGTCAGCCTCTCAAGTAACGGTAGCGCCGAAGCGGCCATACAGTGAATGAATTCACGCTCTATACAGCCACACCGCAAACTATACAGTTCCAGGGAGCTGAACAATCATGTTACAGTCTCCTGGCCCAAGAGCTCGACAGTGGGAAGTAACACAATCACTCGGTGTGCCTTCCCCATGCTTCAGGGGGTTACACTTTAACTCAGAGACCAAAACTAACAATGAGCCCTATGGTTTGTTCTCCCAGAAATGAACCAAAGACTTCATTTCAGTATCTATTATTTTCACACACACACACAAAAAAACTCACTAATATGTTTCTCTAAATATGTATTTAATATCTTAAAAAACCTTCAAAATACATGTTTCACATTGTTTAATTTTTTTCTTCTTTCGGGAATGTAAATGTTTGTTACAAACTTATTCTAGGAAGATATATGGTAACACAATGTATATTATTAATTATTGGGTTTGTACCTATAGGACTAAGCACAACTGGCAATAAAATTACTGAACCAAATGCTAAAGTCTTCATTTGCTTGGGTTTTTTGTTTTCTTTTGTTTTTTTCTCTCTAGGCTTTTGTTAAACAAGTTTCCACTGAATTTAGTTTGGTTTTATTTGAATCAAGACTAGGTAAAAATCTATCCATGGACCTTAACTGGACCTTAAGATACAGATCAGCATCAGTATCTTAAACTTTCTTTGTAATTCCTCACAGAGGAAATAACATCACTAGTGTTGACTTTGATGGATGTTTATCTTTTATAAGGGCCCACAACCTAATTTCCTTATAAGCACCACACGTTCAACTTGATTTGTGTCAATAAAATATAACATTAATTTAATTAATAATACAATTATTATTTAAGTTGCATTAATAAAAATTAAGTATAAATGATAAAAATACAATGTATTTTTGTTTATTATTTCATTGATCCTTTAAAATGAAACAAAAATATATTTCAGAAAAATTTTTAACCACAAGGGTATGAATTCCAGTAGGATTTTAAGTTTCCGTTTTATAATCTCCCTATAATAAAATCAATGTCAAATTACTGATGGAGTGTAATTTCTACCAAGAGACAGTTTGCCTTTCCTCAACTTTTGGCTTCATATTTCAAAATCTTAAACCTCCTTCATGCATGTGCATAATCCTGTACATTTTTTTAATTAATGTTTATTATGTCAGCTGATTTGTATTTCTAACACATGTGAGAGGACTGGAGCCCACATTTAAACAGATATGCCATTTTCATTATATATAACAGTGAATGGCATCACAAAATCCACAATTCTAGGCTACTCTTGAGGTTGAGTGATAAGTTTCCTTCCTTATGTAAAGAATTAAAATTATTCTAAAATAGATTAAACTGTTACTTCTTCTGAAATAACTTTCCCTGAGGTAACTGGACCTGCTCTGAGCAAGGTGTTGGACTAGATGACCTCCAGAGGTCTCTTCCTACCTAAATTATTCTACAATTGATTCTGTGATTCATGGTTTATTTAGAAAGTATGCAGGAAACTCAGCCTGTTTCACTCTTTGTCTGAAAGTTGTCAAAGATGATTTTCTGTGCATTGGAGTGTTTCAAGAAGAAGGAAAATGCTATCTTCTGATGCAAAAAGATTATAAAAATCTTGAACAATTACTCAACAGTGAATTGTTGTGTCTATGTTGATTTTACAGATTATTTAAGAAAGGTATTTAATTCCCCATTTGTGACACTGGTAAGGTAATTTTCCAGTTAATTGATGGTGCAGGATCAAGCCCTGAGGAACTGCTCTAGCGACGCAGTAATGTAGTTTTTTATATTTTTTTATAATGTAGAAGTTCTGCATCCTTGCTTCTGTTATTCCTGAGAGTGGCTCAGTAGAATAGGATCACAAGGGACTTGTTAGCTAGGAGGGGAAGGGAAAGGGGAATGGGCTATTAAATGATTGCTATCGAGCATTGTATTATTAAAAAATAATAACCACAGCAGCAACCTGACCTGAGGTGGCTTTGGTGCCCAATAACTCCACACACAACACACCACCTCTCCTGTACTGAGCAACCACCATAACAGATGGACCCCAAAGTCATGGACTAAATGAACACAGTGAACATTTTTGTGAACATTTGTGGACATTTTATGGACATTTTACAAGGGTGGTCCACAGACTAAGGGAATGATATCTGTGCATTATATCAAAGGCTGGGAAGAGGGATGGTGGTTAATGCGAGGGTATTGGATAGTGTGGGACCTGAGCATCATGTAAATGGTACAGCATAAGGGGTGGAGAATGTGCTGGTTTTGGCTGGGATAGTGTTAATTTTCTTCACAGCAGCTAGTATAGGGCTATGTTTTGGATTTGTGCTGGAAACAGTGTTGATAACACAGAGATGTTTTTGTTACTGCTGATCAGTGCTCACACACAGCCAAGGCTTTTTCTGCTCCCCATATCACCACACCAGCGAGCAGGCTGGGGGTGCATGAGAAGTTGGGAGGGGACACCACTGGGACAGCTGACCCCAACTGACCCAAGGGATATTCCACATCATATGATGTCATGCTCAGCATATAAAACTGGGGGAAGAAGAAGGAAAGGTGGACATTGGGAGCGATTATGTTTATCTTCCCAAGTAACTGTTACACGTGATGGAGCCCTGCTTTCCTGGAGATGGCTGAACACCTGCCTGCCAACGGGAAGTAACAAATTAATTCCTTGCTTTGCTTTACTTGTGCATGCAGCTTTTTGTTTACCTATTAAACTGTCTTGATCTCAACTCACAAGTTTTCTAACTGTTACTATTCTGATTCTCTCCCTCATCCCACCAGGAGATAGTGAGTGAGCGGCTGTGTGGTACTTAGTTGCCAGCTGGGGTTAAACCATGACAATCGGGATTTTTTTTCAAATTGTCATTGAAACCTGCATAAATTAGGAAATCAATAATAGGATTTTCAGTATTGCTAAGTGCTGGCTTAATTCTATTAACCGTCAAGAAGAAGAAATCCATAATGATAAAGCTGTGAAAATGCCACTCTAAACTTAAAATATTATTTGGTTTTAAACAATAGACAATTTAATGTAAGCAGGAAAAATATACAAGCTGAAGCCTGCCAAGATCTTTGTAAGTTGACTATGCTTTAAACAGAAGCTGTGCTGCTGGAGAATGTGACAAAATGAAGCCATTTGTGAAGCCAACTGATTTTCTTTTGAGTTCTCTTTCTCACTTGGCTGAACTTCCAAATAATGGTAAGAGAGCTTTCTCTAACAGAAGAGCATACTCAGGGGAATAATATACAGAATAAGTCAAAGAAAGGACTTCCTAAACTTCCCTGCAATTATTTGTGTCAGGATAACTGTACCTTATTCAAGACAAAACTTTCCTCAAAACTTTTCCCACATTCAGACTATAAGAGTGGTTCTTGGTTTACTATACAAGTGGGAAGACAACTGTGCTCTAGGGTTCACACTGTTGCAAAAATGCCCAAGGAAACTTTTTTGTGAGCAATTCTTGTAAACTATTTGTCCTTCTAGTGTTATTAATCATGTGCAAGGACTCAGTTATAGGTTTTTGTTAAGTCATTCTTTTTCAACAAAATTTGTCATACCAAAATACTCTAAGTAGCCAGCTACCTCCACTTTTACTAAAATGATAGTCACAGTTTGAAGGGAATAATGACAATATACTGATTTTATACTGGTTAGTACATGGACATTTTCTCTAACAATGAGAGTAAGCAGTCATTCTTCAAAAGCAGCTGATAGAGCTAGTCAAAAATTGCAGAGTTTTCTGTGGAAAGACTTGATGAAAATTTGTCCTCCCCCTTCCCCCTTTTTGGACTTTAGTCTTACAGATAAAAGATTTCCATGACAAAACCAGAGGAGGGCAAGGGGGATCTTGGCAGAGGAATTGCCACCTGAGTTTCTCCTTAATAAGTTTTCTTTTACCAACAGAGGATAAAGGACTTGTACAGACTTGTTGTAACTACAAGAAACTCCTAAGAATAGGAAAGTGTAGGTCTTTCCCGAAGGGCAAGGTTGTTGAATTGCAGCCTAGACATCCAAGAGAAGGGGTGGAAGCCGCACCTCTTGAGAAGCTAGTACAAAGAGCCATCCTGTGCTGGTAAAAGAAATGGATAAGGTAACCTAGTAGTTCATTCCAGTATCTTATTTCTAAGTTTCTGTGACTCCTTATATCCTGTAGGACAAATGAAATGCTGTGAATGCTGTGCCAAAAGAAAAAGGGCAGGGGGTCCTGCTGTACTTACCCATGTTAAGCAGTATTTATTCCATACTTAGGAGGACAAAGCTACCCTCTGAGTAACAAAAGCATAGCTTGGTCCAAAATAAGATCAAATTAAACTTTGCGTTAATGAATTTCAGGAGGTTGTAAGTCACATAAGCTAATAAACGAAAAATGCCTGAGAGCTGAATATTGTTTTGGAAAACAGTGAATAATCAAGGAGAACAATTGAACAGTTGGTACATGAACACCATACATTTCAGCAAAGAGTCCACAGACCATGACTGTATGTTAGACATTTTTTAAAAAGATATTTTCCCTGAGCAATTCATGCAGCAAAATTGTTAACAGTTGCAAAGAAAATAAAAAGACCCACAAGCACTGAGACTGAGAACAAATCGAACTTCCACAACACAACCTTACTTTCCAAAATAGACAGTTTTTAGCTGTTCTTGGGATTTTCATGTAGATATTTCATTAGCGGCTGTGATAATGAATTGTTGTCTCATTGCTATCAGGACAGAAATATTATATGGAAAAGCTGTCTTAGGGCACTCCACTTTACACACTTATTTTCCAACCTACCATTTACAGTGACGAGACTGAAAAAGATGTCAGTAAAACTGGGCTTGCATATTACTCTACACAGTGCTGATGTGGGTTGTTTCTTTTTCATGGGACCTAGAAACACAGCATTCCTGTCACTATGACTGTGATGTGCTCCCCAATGACCTTCTCTCAATAAACCTTTATATCCTTCCTCCAGTATGCACTTGGCTCTGCAGAGAAGGGCCATCACATCCCACCACTACCCTGGCAAACTTCTATACTTCTACAAGCTAATGCTAGTTTTAGCTTCCTTGCTCACATGTTTTATGTACTAATCTACAAACTGATCTGGCCAGGGATTTTTTCCTCTTCTGTCTAACACCAGATGTTTCTAAGGCATCACTGCACGCATATAAATGGGAATCTCTGATATATATTGGTACAGAGAGCTCTTGAGGACCTTTCCGACTGGTACTAGCATAAAGTAGGTTGCATGATATCGTCTGGAAAAGGTAATAGTTCCTCCAGGAGAGTTGCATGACTTCAACAAAATTGCCTCTTCCATTAGCTGTATTTTATTTTTCAAGTGTCGTCAAACCAGCCTGGTAAGGGAAAAAAGGTGCCGGAGCTTTCAGCACTGTAAATGGTAGGTTGGAAAGTGAGGATGTTCAGCAAACAGCTTTCCCATACAATCTCCTAGTACGTCCAGCTTATGCATATATTTACTTTAGAGTGCACTGCATGTGTGTTAGGTTCACGAATACCAGGATGCCTCCCGGTAGGGATGGAGCAGTAACACAGCGGCAGCAGAGCCGGGGGTGGCAGGGATGTCCCGTGCGCGGTACCACCCTGTGTGCCACCGCCAGGACTTACACTTCAGCCAGCGGGCTCTTTGTCCTTGTCCGGGATCAGCCTCCTCTGCGTGCAGCTCCTGCAGAGGTACCACAGCATCCACAGCAGCTGGATGAGCATCAGCGTGATCAGGTAGGAGAGCAGGTGGCTCTTGCTGATGCCCACGGCGTGCACAGCCCAGGCGAAGGTGAGCAGCAGCCCGGCCAGGAAGAGGTTGATGCCGTACTGGCTGCTGAGGA